GGCCTCCCTTGGCTTCTGAACTTCCACTGGGGCACAACAGAGAGTCAGTTTCCAGTGGGGATTTCATAACCTCTCATTTGAATACCGTTTTCTCTTTTCCATGTTCTTAATGCAGCATCAGCTCATTTGTTCGCATCTATTATCCACATTGTGACCATTGTGCAGATAAGAAAACAGAAGCAATCAGCAAGGGATGATGGAAGGAGCATCGATATAACACTCCTGTTCGTACCCAGCTATGCCATTCACCAATCCCATGATTTGGAGCAGATTCTATCACGTCTCCAAGCTTCAGTTTCATGCATATGTAATCTAACCTCTTAAGGCTTTGCAGAGCTTCAAAATTCCAAGACTCTCTGTCCTGTTCAAGGTTACATGGCTCGTTTGTGGCCAAACAAGAATCCAGGTTTCTTTAGCCCCCAGTTCAGTGCTCATCAAATCACACCACAAATAATCTAAGTTCCTCCATGTGAATTTCCTCTGGAATGAGTGGATGCTGTGGCTATCTACTTCTCCCTGTCCATTGTTAAGCTAAAAGGACTTGGGCGGAGGGAAGGAACGGGGAGGGGACGGGGAAGTTCGTGTAGGCAGAAACATGTTTCTGGCAGGGAGAACAGAGGCCCAGATATGGAAGGACACAGCATACACTCCACGAAGCCTGAATACCTCAGCAAGGTTGGAACACAGGGGAACAGTGAGAGATGAGACTGGGCTAGGATCCTACTTTGGAGAGCTTCTAAGGGCCAGGTTAATAAATTCAGATTTTATCTTATAAAGACGAGGATCCAGTGGAAGACGTTATGCAAGAGAACTACGTGCAGATGAAGGCTTCTACAACAAGAAGTAGGAGGAGCAATGGGAGAGTTGATATAATGAAAGTCAGGGAAGTAGCTCCTGATCCCCTAAAGTGAAGTTTATCAATATAAAAGCCCTGCCTCTACATAGAGGTTCCAATTAACTTTTCAGTGCCTTACTCTTGAATAGATATAGATAATCAAGGATCAATAGGCATTTAAGGAAGGCTTCTAAGATGTAAGAGCAAAAAACAAAATAAATAGAAAAGCGAATGGGAAGAAAATAAAAATGATACAGGGAACCTAGGAAATCTTTATAATACAACCTCTAGTTCATATAATTAGTCATTCAAACATATTTACAGTTGTAAAAACTTCAACAGAGGGGTTAGAAGATAAAGTTGAAATTACCTCTGAATGTGGAATAAAAAATTAGGAAGTGGTAAACAAGTGGGGAGAATACATAAATGACTTAGAAATTAACTCAGTAGCAATTCTCCAAAAATGGCAATTGTGGAGGTAAAAAAACAATCAAAGAAATACCAATAATACAAGAAATTATCCAGTTTGAATAGGTCCACCCAATATCAGCAGTAGATATAAAACCCATACCAAACACTTCACCGTAAAATTTCAAAACGCTAAGAATGAAAAGGAACTCCTAAAAGCGTCCAGAGATAAGGAAGGACCCAGCCACAAAATAACAAGAAGCAGAAGAACTTGAGACTTCTCAAGAGCAAACTGGATGCTAGAGGAAAACTAAAAAATGCCTCCAACATTTGGTGGAAAGTTATTTTCCATCTTTAATCCAGTCTCAGCCAAAACATCAATTGGATGTGAAGGGTTAATGAAAGAACTTTGTAATGGACTGAAAGTTTGAGTTCTCCCAAAATTCATATATTGAAATCTGAAACCCAATGTGATGGTATTAGGAGGTGGAGCTTTTGGGAGGTGATTAGGTCATGTGAGTGGAGGCCTCATGAATGGGATTAGTGCCCTTACGAAAGAGACTCTAAAGGGATCTCTCACCCACCTTCCATCACGTAAGAACAGAGTGAGAAGACATGTGTCTATGAGCCAAGAAGTTGGCCTCACTAGACACTGAATCTACTGGCAGTTTGACGTTGGACTTGTGAGCCTACAGAACTGTGAGAAATAAATATCTGTTGTTTATTAGCCACCCGGTCTGAACTATTCTGTTATAGGAGTCCAAACTGACCAAGAAAGACTACTAAGTCCTCTCTCTTGCATGGTGTCCTAAAATGTCTAATGATCCCTGCCTAAGCATTCATGTGTATGAAGTTATAAGTATTGAAAAAAGGAAGGATACTCACTCACACCAGTCCTATTCAACACATACTGGCAGTCACAAACAGTAAATTAAAGCAATAAAAACAAACAAACACACACACACACACAACACGCACACAACAAAAAACAGTATACCTATTATCCATGTTCTTGGAAAACATGATTGTTTATATAGAAATTCCCAAGGACTCTACAAAAGATATTTCTAAAAATAACTAAGTTTAGCAAGTTAGCAGTATATTAGCAAGAAACAATTGAAAATCATGATGTAAAGAAAAGCATTTAAAGAAAGTTGCTCTAAAAAATGAGGAACTTAAGTATAAATCTAACAACATGTGTATAGAATTAGTATACTGAAAACTACAAAATATTGATTAAAGAAATCAAAGAAGACGTAAACAAATGGTGAGAGATACTGTGTTCATTAACGAGAAGACACAATATTGTTAAGATGACAATCCTCTGCCAATTGATGTATAATTTCAATGCAAACATAATGAAAATTCCAGCAGATTTTTTAGCAGATATTGACAAGATGATTCCAAAACGCATGTAGAAATGCAAAATAACTAGAATAGCCAAAATAATTTTTACAAATAAGGTTGGAGGAATCACACAACTTGATTTTAAGAGCTACTCTAAAGCCACAGTAATCAAGAGTGTGGCATTAGTGAAGGCATAGACACTGAGATCAATGAAATAGAATAGAGAGTCTAGAAATAGACCCAAATAATATGGCCAATGCATTCTTGAGAAGAATGCAAAGACAATAAAATGGAAAAAATTTACATTTTTTTTTTAGCAAACAGTGATACACCAGTTGGACATTCATATACAGATAAATGAACTTTGCCCTAAACATTATACCATATACAGAATTGATAAGTTCAAATCGGGTACACTTCATGTCTCTAAGCCTCTAGTACTGCATATCTCTACTTTAAAAGAGTAGATTAAAAGTAAACAAGGAAGCACAGTGATTGTAAAGACAGAAGAACAGAACCCAAGTTACTTTAATTTTATTCTTCCATGTGACCATTTGGAGTTTTATTTGTTTTTAAATATAAAAGGAGAAAAAGACAAAAGGTAAAAAGAAAAAGCACAGGAACGCCTCTCCTCTTCCTTCTTGCTAAATCATTTGAATTTAAAGATACGATGCCTGAACGTTTGGCGGCCATATTGTCATCATGAGGGGAAACGCAAGGAATTTCAGAACAGCCAATCCAGAGCCCTAAAATGTTCCAGCTGCTGAATTCACCAACTCTGGGGTTGCCTATTTTCTACTCTTTTATAAGTGAAATAATAATATCCTCATTATTTAAGCCAATTGTTAACTCAAGAAGTTATTCTGCTACTTGCGGTAAAAAAAATTCTGTTTCAAAGGAGATAATCATTGTGTACTAAAGAGCTCACACATGCCACACACAGCGCAGCAGTGTGTCATATGATGAGCATCATCATATCTTAAAGAAGATGTTGTCATATGAGAGAAAATAAAGAAGAGATGACCAGAATGGTGGAATTAGGCAAGTTGTCACAATGGGGACCATGGAAGGAATGTGGATGTTCGATCTAGAGAAGAGACAAACTGGAGGATGAAAAAAGTATCATCAGTTACTTAAAAACTTTCATGGACAAGGGGAAAAGCTGTTCTGAAGGACCACACAGATCAAATAAAACAATAAGTCCATTTTCTCTCTTCTCATTTCCATAGGTCCACTGTGAACAGGGAGAAGTGTGTGAAATGGGGACAGGACAGTAGAAGTGGAAAAAGGGAAACTCAGAGTTGCCACGATGGCTTAGAGAGAACCCCAAAAGACTGATTCCTTGGATGAGATGGGTGCCAGAGGGAAGAGGCAACGAAAGAGCTTCTACATTATCTTTTTTATTTTGAATCAACATTATACATTACCGGAAGCATTTACAAAGTGATGCATACCTCAAAAAAGATGGAGAGAATAAGGATAAATATAAGATACAGAGACAGAAATTAAAAGCAGATTTTGAGTTTGACAGTGAAGAACAAGATGTAAGAAAAGCAGATGCCCCTTTGTGTAAGATACTGTTCAAAGGACTGGGAGAGTTTGAAAGTAAATAAAGCATGGCTTCTGCTCTCAAGGAGCTCTCATCCCAGTGTAGGAAATCAAAGAAAAAGCCCAAAATATCCGATCTGACAGCCTTTGAACTGAAATCACCACTTCAAATCAGGAACACTTATACACATGGCCCTCTCTCTCTGGCCTTGATTCTCCAGCAATACTACACCCTCCTCCTCTCAGCCACATCATTCGAATGACCTAAAGACTGTATTGGAAGAGTAGAATGGTCTGCAGGTTATCCAAGGGGTGTTTCATTAAAAAAAAAAAAAAAAGAACAAATCCAAAGAAAATGTCCTCATTGGAACTACTTAGAGAGTGTTAAATGAGACCACTTCCTAAATACCACATGGGGAATGAGGCAAAGAAGCAAGGAGAAGGGAAAAATGTGACTGCTCCAGAGTTGTATGAAACGGTTGACCGTTCACCACACATATTGATCCACTGACAATGAACCCTCTAGGTTTTCCCTTTGGTTGTGGGAGACCCAGGTTTCACATCCCACTCATATCTCCTGTCTCTAAATTGGGAGTCAGAAGAACTAGGTGCCTGGCCAAGCTCTGCCATTCACTTGCTGCTCATCACTGAGACAGTCATTTCTCTCCAAGTGCCCTCATTTGGAAAACTGTTTAATATAAAAATAATATATTCATTGTCAGTTTTATGACAATAAGATAAAAGTGTGAAAGTGTCTAACACAGTATCTCAGGAAGGAATAGGTATGTAGAAACATTAATTTAATCTTCATTGTCTCAGTGAATAAAAACTTCCTCCATTTTTTGCATGGCAAAACAAAAGTTCAGAAAGAAGATTTGTCATTTACATGCAACCTATTTAAAGTATACTCCCTGTTACAAATCACTAGTCGCCTGCCTAACCTCTTCATGGCTGCCTGCATCTCCTTGTTCCTCAGGGTGTAGATCATGGGGTTGAGCATGGGAGTCATGACTGTGTAGCTGATGGACACAGCCTTGTCCAATGGGAAGGGGGAGAAGGGCCGGAAGTAGATGTAGATGCAGGGAATAAAGATCATAGACACCACGATGATGTGGGTGGTGCAAGTAGATGCTGCCTTTCTCCTTGCCTTTCCTGAGTGGGACCTCAGCATCACCAGGATAACAGTATAAGAGATCAGAAGGAGAAGGAACCAGATAAGAACCAGCAACCCACTATTGGAGATCATAAGGAATTCTAGGAGGGAGGTGTCTGTGCAGGCAAGTCTCAACATTTGTGGAATGTCACAGTAAAAGTTATCCAGGACATTGGGACCACAAAAAGGCAATGGGAGCATCAGGGCCAGCTGGACAATGGAGTGAACAAAGCCCCCGACCCAGGCAGCCAGCACCAGCCCCACACACAATTGAGTGTTCATGATGGTGACATAGTGAAGGGGCCGGGAGATGGCTATGTACCGATCATAAGCCATGACCGAGAGAAAGAAGACAGTGGCACCTCCCAAGAGGTGGAAGAAGAAGATCTGGGCCATGCAGCCCTGGTAGGAGATAGTCTTGGTCTCATGAAAGAAGTCCACCAGCATCTTTGGAGAAGTGACTGTGGAACAGCAGAGGTCTATGACAGCCAGATTTCGAAGCAGAAAAAACATGGGCATGTGGAGCCGGGAGTCAAACGTCGCTGTGACAATGATGAGGAGGTTTCCCACAATGGTGGTGACATAGACAAGTAGAAATACCAGGAACAGGAATTTCTGGAGCTCCTGGGTCTTTGAGAACCCTAAGAGGACAAACTCGGACACCCATGTGCTGTTTTCTGGTTCCATGAGATCTTCCTAAAATTCTGAAAGAATAACCTACGGAACAAAAATTATGAAATTTCAATCATTTTCCTTGGAGAGTCAGAGTTGAATGAAGTCATTGTTGATTTCCATTGTATGATGGAGCTTAGGACAGCCTTCCATTAAAATAAGACATTATCAAGGATTTCACAGAATTACCTCCCCAACCACATCCTATATTCTATTACAGGCATTAATGGGTGTTTTCCCTTTGTACCACGCTGTCCTTGTCCATGAGTTTCTTGTCTGATGCCTACCTGCTGAGCCCAACATTGTGCCTTGCGAACAACAGGCTCTACAAATACAGTCAAACCAGTCAGTGAAGAACAAACGTATCAGCAAATACCTGTGATCATCAATCTGGGGGCAAAAATCTTGAAAGTATGAAAAGTAGAGTAGTAATCTTAAGTAAACAAATAGATGCTTCATCATGACAGAGGTTTGAGGAGCTTATGGTTCGTTGTTGAAGGAAGAGAGGTGTGCACTACAAGAAATTATCATATGCAGATTCAGAGGCAAATGTGAAGAAAAACATGCAAATGATCCTAGCTGGAGTGAAGCTGAGATAATTAGTGCCTCTTAAACTTTTCTTCAGAAAACCTTCTCTACTGTCCTCTGTTGTCATGGGGCCATCTGCAGAGGGAACTCAATGCAGCCCAGGACAAATACAAAATTTCCATGAACTCTCATGTTTCATATTTTAAAATTTATATGAATTTTCTGTTGTACACATATCTCTTGACATCTTTGGGAGGTTTTTTAAAATTTAAGTATCATGGCTTGTAAAATTTTGCTAAGTCCAACGCGATATAGAAAATATAGGATAGGGAAGACACATGTTTCTCTAGTTCGGCAAATCGAAAATCTAGAACACATTCATTTAAACACAAAACTGAGTTATCTGGTATTAGAAGTCATTCCCTTGGGTTACACTTTTCCAAAATTCTTTTCTCAAATCGTTCAGGAAAATGTGCCCTGAGGCCCGACCCTGCAAAGAGAAAGATCTCTCCTCCCCAACTCCCACCTGACAGATGGGAGGGACAGCAGTATTGCGCTGATGTTCTTTATACAAGGGAATTGCACAAACATATGTAAAAAGATTTCTATCAACTTCTGTAGACAAATATAAATCACAATTATCTCTAAAATTATGTTAATAATCACAATACTCTAAATACTGTCATGTTTACCTCCTCTAAAACTCACATTTATCCTCAATTATTTATGTAAAAATGATGTTCCAAGAGAGGCACTCTGTTTATTCTGTGGCATCACCAATTGCCAGCATAGGACCATTTGAAAAGCATCCCTATGGGCAACTGAGAACACCTGCAAGCCTTTTGAAGGAAAATGATGTGATGAAACAGGGTTGAAAGGGCTCATCCCAGCCCACGAGGGCAGGAAGCACTGAGATAGGCAACGGTGGAGTAGACACTTCCTGGGCCAACAGAGAGGGTAATGTTTCTGTCTCTGGCTTTGTGACCTTGCTATACCATGTCATGTCAAGATTAGACTGCATGGGCAGCAGCTTAAATGGCATCGTTTAGTATGTTTGAGAAGGTCCCTGACTGGAAGCCCTTCACCCCCCACCCCAACCCTCACACTCAGTCACACCCTAAAATGCCATCAGCATATCTTTATTATCTCAGTTTTTCTTTGTCTCTATTAAGATACAACTATCATACACTTTTATACACCTTTATCAGACATGCACACTGTACAACATCATACGTAAGTCAATCGCCTAAAAGACATTTTCTCCTCTAGACCAAAATGTTTTAAAAAATGTTCCATGATACTTGCACATAGATGCCGAAGATGGCGGAGGGTAGGTCCTGGTGATCAGCAGCCAAGGTCTTATCCTGGGCCACCTGGTGACCCTCGTCGCCCAGTAAGTATTGCTGGTCTAGAAGGG